ACAATGAAATCGACGGATAAAGGTGGTTTGCACGGTTTTTACAAATTGGAGTGATTTTCATTTGATCGCTTATATATATATATATATATATCTCTCTCTCTCTCTATATATATATATATAGAGAGAGAGAGAGAGAGATCTATATATATATATATATATATATATAGAGAGAGAGAGAGAGAGAGAGAGAGAGATCTTCATACGAAAATGATGTATTTCAAAAAATAATTTATTTGAATAATGTCTTAAATAAAACTTTCTAAAAAAGTAATCCAAAAAGACATATATGTCATTTGTTGTACATAGATTATATATGAAAATTTATTTATTTCTATAAAGATCATTTAATACATTTAACTAAATCTTTATTCATGATTTTTTATAGTTTTTATGATTTAAGCATGATTAATTTTTATTTTTTACTACATTTAAAAAAATGTGTTTTAGTTTTTCACTTAAAATATTTATTTTTATTAAAGTAGTTTATTTATTGATTTTTTTACAATTTTCGTCATAAATCATATGTGATATGCACAACTAATGTTTTTTTTTTCCAAAAAAAGAATCGTTAATTTTCGTCAATGTATCATATGTGATATTGTTATAATGAAAAATCATATATGATATTGATTATCTACAACATTACATATGATATATGTAAATTGTGAACTGCATTTTGAATTACATATGATCTTATACATTTTAAATGTGTTTTGCTACACAATACATGTGATTCTGTTTTCATTAATTTTCTTTTTTGATGTTTAATTTTTTTGTTTTCCAAGTTTTAGATCACATGTGATTTTGACAAAAAAATATAATTCTTTTTAAATATTGCTTTAAATAAAAAAATGAATTCTTTAAATGAAAATTAAATATGCTTATTTAATACAATATTAAAATCGTAAATATGGTAAAAGTATAATCTTAAATAAATGTCTTAAATATAAATAAATTTCCTTTATGCCCTTTATTTACTTATTTTTGAAATTAATTATTTAAGGTATTATTTAATGAAATATATGGTTCATATTTAATATCTTGTTTTTTTAAATACGTACAATTCTCGTAACAAGACTGAATATAATCATAGCAATAAGTAAACAGAACACATACACACACACATAGAGAGAGAGAGAGAGAGTGGGAGATTCAAATGAGAACACGAACTATTTAAGAAAACAAGAAAAAGTCATTATGGGTTACAAGCCGAAGTCGTTAACCGGTTATAAGTACCATTAACTCAACCTTAGTATTTTTGACAGTGTGACTGGTCCATAATATTATTGTTTCAGCCCAAGACCGATTTGGGTCCGGTCCTGGACCGGTTTTTAACCATGTCTAATGTAGACAGATGACGAGTTTCAACTTTCAATGTTGAGATTTGAGAAGACAAATAAATATATTTATTTTAACATTTGATTCAAATATTAATGTATTATTTAAGTTGATACCAAATCTTGTAAAATACAAGACAAACCATTAAAGTGAATTTCAACAATTCCTTTAAATCAACTATTTAATATTCAATCATGTAAATTAACACCTTTATTTCATGTTTAGTTCAAAAATTCTTTCATCATTGAAGTCGATATAAAATCACATGAAGAAAAATAGAACCATTAAAGAGAAGTAAAGTGCTTACTTCAATTTTACATTTCAAAGAATATGGCACTAAACATATTGAACGAAGACCCCATACAGATGTCTAATTCTAAAATAATTAAAATAGAGATCATTTCACTCAACGACTAAAGCTTTTAATAGATTAACGAGTGTAAGGTTCCAAGTTTGAGCCTCAACTTCTCTTGTATTAGGTCAAACCAGTGGGAAAAGTTGTTTTGTTTCAATATTTATAGCGTATGTTATAAAGTATTAAGATTAAAGATACGAAGAAAAAAAAAGAAATAGAAAAAAGCAAGAAGGCAGAATGTCATGATCAAAGAAAAAGGCTCTTGAACACAGTGAGGTGGGACAGTATACAGTATATGTTGATGAGAGTATCAAAAGTCCAGTTGATAGTTGAGAGCTTCAAATAGAAGCTTTAATGGTAGTTGAGAGATCATTCATTCAACACTTTTTGTCTATGTTTTGAAGTTTATATCTAATTAATCTGATGAATATGCATGATTATATTTGATGATGTTACATGGCATATGCCGTATGAATTCATTTTTTTTTAATTAAACTATATACACTGTTTACCAATTTTTTATTAAGTCCTGTACGGATAAATTTATCTGTCTGGATAAATGGATGTTGTTGTTTACTTTTTTTTATATCTAAACCAACAGTCTGAATAACATAAATGACCGATTTATCCCCTCCCCTAAGTGCTACATTCTTAACTTAAAAACATAAGTGTTACATTCTTAACTTAAAAACATAAGTGTTACATTCTTAACTTAAAAACATAAAGAAAGTTAATATGACTTTGATCCTTAACGTTTCATTTCATTGTGGGGCACAATATGTGTTTAAAAATATTGTTATCATGTCTTGTTTCTTAAAACAGAAAGAAATGTGATTGATTGAAATGTAGAGAGGATGGGTCACTTGCATGGTTAGACGCAATGATGTTACAAGAACATTTGTGATCCAAGCAAACATAGATAAGCACCACCACACCTACCCCTGACTTGTTCTGCAATTAAGGATATCATGTTTCTATTCAATTTAAATACCCTGATTAAGCCAAGCTGAACCCAAGCCTCAGCTCTTACAAATGAATCCTACTTAGAAAACTTGGTGTACAGTGGATGAGTATATATGATATAGTCTAGATGAATGAATGGCTTCATAACATATCAAGATATATATAAATCTTGATTATAGGATTCACTTTCTTTGATGTGCCATATCTATAATCTCCATAGTAGTTAGAGTTATACCAATACAAGAAGTTAATGTTTAGAAGGTTACGATGCCCAAAACCTGCACGTTTCCCATGTTAGCCTTTTTCCAACAGGATACTGCTTCTGTGCACCAATCTGAATCCAAACTGGAGGACATAGCATCATATTATCGAACCAATCTTTCTTGTATATTTTAGAGAAGATAAAGGCTTATATAAAACATGATTAGCATTTTAAACCATCATTAATAACATTTTGATGTAAGTAACAACATAAATCAAACCAAAGGGCCTTTGGCCTAGCAGTATCGTAACCCTTGGCCTTCTAGGAGGTCAGGGGTTCAAACCTCACCATAGGTGAGGAGGGCGTGTGAGTTTATTTGTTGCATTTGCCGTATATAAATATTATATACTTCAAAGAAAAAAAAAACACAAATCAAACCAAACAAATCCAATATATCCCACACAAAAGTAGGGCTCGGAGTAGGATGTCTCAATAGATGGAGAGGTGGTTTATGTGAAAACCCCTAACTTGCAACAAGCATATCAAGATAGAGAAAATAAATTCTTTTGTTGGCAGGAAATAGCAAACATCACCATTTTAGCCAACCGGGGTAGTGATCAACTCTTCCACCCATATCATTCATTTAAATATGCAGAATCATCATGCTTTCTAAGAACATGTCATTTTAATCAATTATACAACTTTAAAAAGGCAAAAACCTCATCTTACTTGACATATTTTGCTCATAATCACTCAATCTTGTAAAGTGCAGTGTTGTGCAACGGAAATCCACATAAATTGTTAGAATTTTTAGCAACTCTTTTCCTGTCAATAAGGTGTTCTTTTTGCATTTCACAAGTCCGTTTAATTGCTTAAAATTGAAATGTCAAGTACATCAGTTCAACATGCTGCCCTTTAACAAAGGAATAAAATTGTTGCTTGCTTATTTGAAATTTGACCAAATATCTTAGTAAGATTTAAGAGAACTTCAAGTCATTAATGGGGAATGCTTTTATGTAATTCTAGTCTTGGCAAACAAGTGAGGGTTTGGCCTTTGGGTTTATTCCACAATGAACAGGATCATTTATCATAAAGTTGGGCCTTACAACAGAATTAAGAAGACAGTATAAATGTATTGATACAGACACCCCCTTCGCCTCATGAAATATCAACAATTCACACTAATCGTAGTTGTGCACTTGAGCATAAGTGTATATTTATTCAGCAAATGTCTAAAACAACATTATGTATTTAAGAATCAAAACCATCACCAAATAGAGGAAGTTGCAATGATATGCAGCATCACAAAATGAAATTATTGTAATTTTTACGAGATAGAGGGAGTGTAAATAAAGATTATATAGTCATTCAGAGAGCAAAAAAGGATTGAGATCATACCTTCAAAAAAGATATCAAGCAAATGGAAGATGCTTTAAATTGCAGGTGTCAGTGCTATAAACTTGGTTTCCTCATCACAGTCGTCGTCGCTGATCCATCCATAACAAGGCTTACGCCTACCAACAGAGACATTTACAGGGGTATTAGCAGCAATCGAAGCAAGTTCTGAAACAGGGGGGTCTTTGGAACACTGGAGGTTAACTTCATCTGCAGAATGATTATCACAAGTGTCAAATGGGCTCTTGAGAGTGCTTTTGTCCAAAGCAATGTCCTTCAGGCATTCTTTGTTCTCCGATCCTGCAAAAATATCGGCCCTTTAAATTTAAAGCACAACACATACAAATATATGTATAGTTGTTCCACTCAACTTCCACCACATGCCCAAGAGACAACACTCTTATATGGTCAAGCAGTCTACATTTTGAATCTTAACAAGAATTTAATACAAACACTACATATATATGGTGCTAGTTACATAGATTAATGTAGATATGAAATCTTTTCTCAAAAATGTAAAGAATTTATATCTGCTTTGAAGTTGAAAGTAGGATGTTTGACCCCAAAAGTCGAGGAATACCTTTTATGGAAGGGAAGAGTAGTTTGTCATTTGGGTAGTCTTGCATGTCCCAACTCCAGAAAACATCACCAACTTTCCAGAGTTGACAAAGATGAATTAAAATTGAATTTTAACTAATTTATTACTCATTCATCAGGAGCATATTTAGATGCAAAGAAAAATGAGAACTAGACCTGTGTAGTTTGTCAATGATGCATTGTTGTTTCCGTTGAAAGATGCATCTTCAGCAGCTACTTCATTCGACTCTACAGTGACCAACTCATTTCCAGTGTTCTCGATCTCTGATGATGCATCCTGCACAAGATGAACTCAAAAAGAAAAAATGATTAGAGCCACTCCATCCTTTTTCGAAAATTAGAGGCACATTTTGATTTTTTAAGGTCTGCTTTTCCAACACAGAATTGATATGTATTTTATAAAGTTGAACATAGTACATTTAACCTCAAAAATCAAAGTACATCAATCTTGTGTACTTATCAAAACATCAGATTTACAATTACAGGTCTTGATATCCACACTAGTAACCAATCCCTCAAGAATTACACATGGGCATACCATCCACATTTGCACTTGTGAAATGAATCTACTATGATATGATATTAAACCTCTATGATTCTTACATATCGTTTCTTTGAAATAATCTTACTATTATTAGAAACCCTTTCTGCTTGTCAATCAGACCATCAATTAAACCCAATCTTTTTTATATCTTTCTCCTTTCTACAGTTTATCAAACCCAACAATTGAGTTTTACCATCTTAAGCTATCATCACCAGCCTGTATTCTAAATCTTTTCCATATTCAGATGCTGACAGGAGACAGATAAGCTTGGGAGAAAAACAGAAAGGTTATCTTGATGCACTACAATTATACAAACCCATGTACAAATCCTTATTTTTATTACAAAACTGTCTGAATCACGCCTGAAACGCATGAATCATTAGATATACAAATTAAAGAAAAAAAGTGATAAAACAAATGTCAAGCTAGGGCCTTCATGACCTTACCTTTAACAAATTCCGTGTTTGTTCAGTCTCTTGTTCATCAAGAAGGACATCTATAAGAACCTTGTACCCGTCTTCTTCAATTAATATCCATCCATCATCACCATACAACTAGTGATCACATCAAACGACAGCCAAAAACAATGAATATCTTATGGTCCAAATTCCAATAACAACCAAAAATATAGAGCGGGAAAACCAAAAGGGAATGGACTCGTTACTCTATATTAGACATGGTAGACGTTCCAAAAGTGAGTGACAAGTTAAGAAGTGAGGAAGAGCAGAACTCTTGAACAAATTGTTCTCAATAGGGAAATGGGTAAACCAACTAGGCAGGCCATAAGATCCCCCAACCTTGTTACTCACTTTAATGCTTTGTAGAATGCCGAATAAAATTGGTCCATATGATGGGACCGTCAATTTGAATCCTAAACCTTATAAACAGATTATTATCGAAACTTAGACATGTAAACAATAAACCATTAAATGTCAAATTGATGCTCAACATTCCTGCACTTTCAATGTTGACCCTCTTTTCATCAATCATTCACAACTCCTCTAGCTAATTTCTCTCTGTTTCATCTTCCTCCTACCTCTATGTTCATAATTTATGTTGGTTACTGATGTCTGTATAAACATATCATAAAAGTTGCACTACAAATTCATCATCATAGAAAAAAAAGCTCAAGGAAGCCTCATAGAGTTCATTTCAAATCATGTAAACTTTGATTTTCTGGTCAAAATGCTCATTTTTCAGTTCAAAAATTAACGTGAGTTTTTAATTTCTTTCTGTCTGCTCTTATTTACATAACGTAACATTCTGAGTTTTGATTCTCCAATCTGTTGGAAATAAACAGGGTCTCAACACAAACATAAACCCTACCCAATCAAAAAATTAACAAAAATACAATTCAGTTTACATGAAACCAAATATATATATATATATATATATAGAGAGAGAGAGAGAGAGAGAGAGGGGTTTAATAGGAAACAAAAAGAAACTGATGTAGGTTTTGAGAAATTGTGTGACCTTGAGAAGATCTCTAACAGTTTTCCTGACGAGTTGCCTCGAGAATCCAAAAGTGCTCATCTGATCGAGAGCCGCATCCATTCGGGTCAAACCCATCTGTAAATCATGCCCATAGAGATGATGAGGATGAGAGCAAGAAAAAAAATAGTAGATACAAGTTTTTTATTGAGAAACTTTACCTTTCTTCGTCTCTTGGATGCCATGTAACTAGATTTCGTCGGAGAATATGGAAGACACTCAAGGGGCATGCATGAGACTGACCACTCCACCTCCTTTTTTCCATCACCAAAATCCTAATAACAATAAAACAAAAAAAAATTCAAAAAATATTAATTTTAAGTCACCATTATTTTCAAATAGATTCTCCAAAATTGATTCCGACAACCAAGAGTGAAAAGCTTTAAAAAAAGTAATTTATTTTCAGCGTATTCCTCGTTTCATTTTAGAAAATAAACATTAATTATAACATTAAAATATTTTATTTATTTATTAAAATATTTTTTCTTTTTAAATAATTATTTTTATAATTCCATATTAATAAAAACATTTCTCTCACATTGTGATTATTTTTGGAGTGTTATTCATATTTAAAGATGGTTTTAAGAAGTCTATTGAAGCATAAAATTGATTCAAAATCTTCATTTTTTTTCATTTCAGAGGATTCGTTAAAAATGCTGTTAATAGTAAATAAAATAAATAAATTATAACATCTTCGATACCTTTATTATAGCATCCTCATTAGTTGTGCTAATATGTTATAATATTTCTAAAATAAAGCATTAAAAGTTAAAATGTCTAAAAATATTGGAGCCAACTCTAAGATCTACTTTATTTTAACAAATCTATCATTAATTATATTACTAAAACATTCGATACATTTAATAAAATATTATTTCTCTCTTTTAAACACTTAATTTAAATGTTTTGTATTTATGAGAAATAATTAAATATTATTTTTCTCTCTTTTAAATATGAAGTCTTAGAAATTAATCCAAATTTGAAGATTTCTACCATTTATATCTTACTTTCTCTAAGTTAACAATTTTTGTTTGAATAAAGAAATGAATTTCATTTGATTTTCTTAGAGCAGATTCTTTAAAATTGGAAACCAAAAGTTAAAAAATCTTTAAATAATTATTAATTTTATCGTTAAAATACTTAATACAATTCAAAAATATATTAATTTTTCTCTGTTAAAATTTTAATTCAAAAGATTCTCGAAAAAATAAAATATTATTTTTCTCTTTCTTAAACAATTATTTTTAAGATTTATTTAAATTTCATGTTTTTTTACTAGAAGGGTACTCGCACAATACAGCGAGACACATATCGATTTTAATGTTTTGTGTTTTTCTTTTGTCTCAATTGATGTTATAATACGATTTTGAGAAAACGATAATGTTTTTATTTTTAAATAAGATATAAATATGAAGATATCATAAAAAATTGAAAAAAATATTAATATTAGTACTAAACTAACTATTTAGTTTTTTTTTCCTGTTTTTGTGTATTTCTTTAATTCATTTTTTTAGTAATATATTTTTTTTATAAAGATAATAATTAAGTATTTCCGATGATTATCCTAATTATATTTTAATTTTTTCATATTTAAAATGATTTTAAGAAAGCAATAATGATTTAATTTTTGAATAAAATATAAATTTAAAGATTTCATAAAAATTTGAAAAAATATATATCAATGTTAATATCAAATCAACTATTTAAAAATTCTCATTTTTTATGTAATTTATTTATTTTTATTATAATTTAATTTAAGTTTAATAATGAAATAATTTATTTTTGGTTTAATAATATAAATTTTATAAAGATAATAATTAAGTATTCTGTTAGAACTTAATAATTATTCTAATTATATTTTAGATTTTTTATATTTAAAATGAAATGTTTATCCTGCATTTGATTATATTTATCCGCAGTTAGTTACACAAATTCAGATATGTAGCTTTAATAAGTTGTACTTACGCATTAATAAACAATATTTTATGCATAAAAAATGAGTTTTAAGAGTTTTTGTCGAATGCTTTATAATATAATATATATTTTGAAGAAAACTTTTAATAATCCGTTAAATATTTAAAATCTTAATTTTAAAGAATTTGTTAAAAATAATGTATAAAGTCTTAAAAAGTGATTTGCTAAGAGATGATTACGGTTGAAATGCTTTCTTTCGTTACTTTCCAAATTTGCCCTCATGTGTAAATTACTTTTTTAATTATATCCAAACATGTCACCATCATATTAAATTATCTACAAATATATTATATTGACTTTTGACTTTTTTTTTAATTTCAGAGTTGCAAGAGTTTTTTCCTTCTATCTTTTCTATTTATCATCGTTTTTTTTAATATAAACACAACGAAAAATCTAAAAAAACACAATAAACTTTAATATTTGATTAAATCATTGAATAATTTTTTAGAATAAATATGTCATTGGACATTCTAAAATCTGTTAAATAACTTTTTAAATTTTCTAAAACATGTTAAATACATCATTATGACCAATAAAACCGGTTAATATGGTAAAATAATAGAAAAAGTCTGAAAAAACCCAATGAGTTTTCATAATTTAAACGATTAAGTCCCTAAACATTTTAATCAAAACAATATTTACATCTATAAAATGAAACAAATATACCAAAAAAATACTTACATTTAAAAAAATAAAAAATATAATGTCAATGATTTCTAAATAAAAAATAATTTAAAAAGAATTATTGATTAAATTTATTTCAATGATTTTTTTTAAAATAAATATATTTTTAATTAAAATAAATTTAATGTGTAATCTTTTTTAAATCTTTTTTATTTTTTCTTAATTTGAAAAACCAATAATAAAATATTTTTTATTTTTAATTAAAATAAATCTCATCAATATTCTTTTTAAATGTAAGCATTTTTTTAGTATATTTGTTTCATTTTATTAATATAAGTGTTTTTTTAGTTTAAAAAATGTTTATGAACATAAGCATTCAAAATATGAAAGTTCATTGATTTTTTTTTCTAGATTTTTTTAATTATTTTATTATATTAACCAGTTTTATAAATTATAAGAATGTATCTAACAATTTTAAAAAATCTATAAAATTATTTAACAGATTTTGAAATATTCAAAATCTTATTAATTCTAAAAAATTATCTAAAACCTTAATTATTCTAAACATTAAATTTCATTCTTTTTTCCCATGTAAAATACAAACCACAGCAAACCTTATTTCTCTCCGACTTGCCCGAGTAAAATACAAGCCCATAGGAGTCATGGTAACTTAGGTAGGTTCACCGTTCCCACAACAAACCTATTTCTCTACGACTTGGGAGTTGCAACCCTCGACTTGCTTCTGATTCTCTCTCAATCTGCGCTCGCTTCCGTCCTTCCTTTTTCTGTGACTTGCGACTCTTTCTCTCACTCGTTGTGTCCAGACGTCCATTGGTCCTGTGGCTGATCTTAATCCTCCAAAACCAGGTTTGAGTCGTAACTTAGGTATGTACTAGTTGTGTTTTTTGTTTTATCAAATTCTAATGTTGTCACTAGATTCTTGAATGGGCAGTAGTTGATTTATTTGATTGTTGTTGTTTGGTTCTTGGATAGTTGAATGTGCAATAGGTAATTCACTTGAATGTTGTCATTCCGATGTGCAGCAGGCAACTGATGTTCTGCCCTCACTTGAATTGTTCTCCCTTAACTTTGCAATTTTTCACATAAAACTCATGATTGCCAATTGGTCAAGACCCTAAATATGATTATATGAAACTCATGATGGACTAATGGAGTCATGCAATAGCTAATTTCATAGACAAACTTCTTAACTGACTAAAACTAGTATGGGGAGGACAAAAGTGAAGTAGGAATGAGCCATTGATGTTGCAAAGTGTAAAGGATTGAAGAAGAATCTATCAGTTAAGTGTTTTGGAGTTGGATTGAGAAGTTATGAATGTTGATTTTGGTTTATATAGAAAATGTGGGATGTAGGAAATAGGGACTGGTTATTTTGGTTTTTGGTTTATATGCTCAAATTCTCATCTATATATGGCTTGTTTATCTCTTGTGATGTTTATTTTGGGTTGTTGGTCTTGATGGTGGTTTTTAGTCCTATTGTGGAGTTTTAAGGGGTTGTGTGGTTGATTTTTCATTCCTATTTGGTTGTCAATTTGTCATTTGGAGGATGGTTGGGTGGTATTTCTTATATTTTAGTCTTCATTTTGGTGAAGATTAGGTTTACTTTAGTCCTGTTTGGTTTTCTACTATGAGATGCAGGGGCTACAACAGCTTTATTAACGAAACGCTAACATGTTTTTTAAAAACAAACGCCCAACTGCAGGATCATGCATATGAACAAAAAACCAGACAACTGTAAATTACCACACTCGGATGTATTAAATTGGGCATCATTTGGTCTTTTCGCTCTGGGCACCAAAGATCTCAAGGCTGGCACTGTTGTTTAGGACCTATCCCTAATTTTCACCATGCCACATCCACAAAATTTATGGTGCTGCTTGTTTTCCTCTTAATTATTTCATTAAGAGATAACTTTTGATTTGATAAAAAAACCCTCTCTCTTAATGGTTCTACTAACCTCTTAGCGATTTTTTTAATCTAGGTTCTCCCCAAATCATTAAAACCCTTATTTTTCCAAGATTGCCCTTTCAAGCTTTTCTCACGCCACTCTCGAATCTGCCACATTCTTTACAATGAATCTGCTCAATCGAATCTGTCACATTCTTCAGGTACATCTTTCACAAATCATATTTGCTCATCTCTCACAATCGATCTGTTTCTCTGTTCGATTGAAACCTTTGATTAAAACAAGCGAATCTGCTCATCTCATAATCTGGTTGAAACCATCAATTTATCTGTTTTCATCTGGTTGAAACCATCGACTTTATCTGTTTGCATCTCTCATAATCTGGCCGAATCTGCTATCGCTCATATCTGCATCTGTTTTTATGAGATGACTGTTAAAAGGATTTTCATTGCATAAAACAGAGAAGCTACCATTCGGTTTCTGCCTTGTGACTCATGAGAGTGTTCTATTATTTGCTACTTTAGCCTGTGCCTGGCTAGTTTAAGGCTTTCATTTTATTCTTCGGATAGTAGTTTTGGATAGACTCTTTATGTGGTGTTGATTTTTTTCTTGGATCTATAGGTTGGTGATATTAAGGGCCTTGAATGTGTGAAAGCTTTTGTGTTCTTCTGGTTCAAGTGTTCTACATTTTTTATTTGATGTGCTATTATTATGTACTTTCCATTATCCTGTCTCTTCAATTCCTAGGAGTGCTTCTCATTGTTGGAGAGCCATCCACAAATTACTAGAGAAGATTTGCATCTGCTTTAAACCATCAATCATAAATAACATACAAAGCCATCCAGGTTTCATTTAAGCACTTGCAGTAGCTCAATGAGGATTCTTCTCCCATCCCTCATTAGTCCGGCCAAAAAATCGTCATATCACTGGCTTTCTTCACCTCTGCCGTAACGAAAACATGTGGCGGATTTGCTGGCCCTTTTGAGTATGCTTTCTATCTTCTCATTCTCATCATTTGCTTTGAAATATCATGTAAGTTCTTTATTCTTAACTAGTTGAAACCGTAAATCCACTTTCATTGAATCTATACTTCTCTTAATTCTCTCTTCGCGGTCTTAGTTTAAATCTTCTATAAGTTGATAATTGGAATGATGGTTATAGACCTCTACTTTGACTTTGGAAAATCAGCCAGGGTATTTTTTGAATTGTAGAACTGGTATGTATGTTAAGCTTTTTGATTGTAATTTGATAAATGGACTAAAAGCACTGGGATTTGTAATTCCTGGTGGTAACAGGAATTAATGGTAAATTGTGTCTGGAAAGGACCATGTCTAACATTAGAAAATCAAAATGCTGCTAATTATTTGGAAAAATGGAGGGACTGTCTTCTTTTTTGATCATTAAAGCTTTGCACAATTAATCTATGATCAAACGATCATGTGATATTTATCTTTACGTATTGGGCAATGTTGAGTAGCGCTGATTGAATAGGAACTTATTGGATGCTGTGATAGATTATAAATTGTATCCGTTTTCTTTTGACTATCAAGGTTTGGATTAATGCATGAGCCATTGTTTTTCATTTTGGGAGATATTAATTAGACAGGAATTCATTGAATATTATAATAGATTGCACGTTATCCTTGTCTGATAGCTCATAATTATTGAATGGGATTGTTTACCATTGAGTTACTGGAAGTGTTTTTTCTTTGTATGTTATTTATGATCATGTATGTGCCTGTACTATGCATCTATTATTGTCAGTTTTAATTTTTTCTGATCCACTGTTTCCGTATTTCGTTAGGAGTTCCAAGTTTACCATTTCTCAGAATTGGAATGAGAGCGCCGAATGCAACTGAATAATGTAGAAGCAACTGAATGCAAGGATGAAGACTCTTGTTATATGCCGAGGTATAAGTTGCAATAGAACTGCATATTTCTTTGAATAGATCCGAGCCTGAGAAAGTTCCGTCAAGCATATTATACCGACCATCATACTCTTGTCAATTGGTTTTATCATTTTTATGTTCCAGCTTGTATGCATCAGTATTTTCTTGTTTGACCAGTGAGGGTGTTGCATTGCATGGTTATTGGCCGCCGATCTATCATTAATTTAAGTTTGAAGGAAAAGTTGGATGCAGTTCTTCACAGACATGGTAATTTATTCTTCTTTCTGTTAGTTTGATAATTGCTGATCACTATCGACTCGTTGGTGCAGGGAAGTTATGTGACTCTAGTTCAAAATGCTCTGATATTGTTGCTCTGTGTGGGAGGTTGCTATCTTCATATAATGGGCCTTTTGAACTGCAACGAAGAGCTCTTTCTTCTATGAGTCGAAGTGATCAAGAGCAAATTAGAAAATTTGATGGAGAAAGGCAAGGAGTGGAGTCTGTGTGCCAGATCTTGGAGGGTGGTCCGTGGGGGACGTCCTTGGAGAATGCTTTATCCACCTGCAATGATAGTGCACAAACTGATGTGGTCATTGCTGTTTTACGGAAACTGAAGGATGTCAATCTTGCAGTAAATTATTTTCGATGGTCTGAGAGGAAAACCAATCAAGCACATTGCCCTGAAGCTTACAATTCGCTTCTAATGGTGATGTCAAGGAGTAAGAAGTTTCATCAGATTGAACAAGTTTTGGAAGAAATGAATCTTGCTGGTTTTGGCCCATCTAATAGCACATGCGTTGAGTTAGTTGTAAGCTGTGTTAAGAGTCATAAGCTAAGGGAAGCTTATGATCTGATTCAACTAATGAGAAGGTTCAAGTTTCGCCCTGCGTTTTCCGCTTATACAACTCTAATTGGAGCTCTCTCTACCGTACATGAACCCGATCTCATACTCACGCTGTTTCACCAGATGCAGGAGCTAGGTTATGAAGTAAACGTGCATCTATTCACAACCGTGATCCGTGTATTTGCTAGGGAGGGTAGGATTGATGCTGCTCTTTCTATGTTGGATGAGATGAGAAGCAACTCTGTAGATGGTGATATTGTTCTGTATAATGTCTGTATAAACTGCTTTGGTAAAGCAGGCAAGGTGGACATGGCTTGGAAGTTCTTTCACGAAATGAAAGTTCATGGCATCATGCCTGATGATGTTACATATACTAGCATGATAGGCGTTCTCTGCAAAGCTAATAAACTCAATGAAGCTGTTGAGTTATTTGAGCAGATGGAGCATAATAAGAAGGTCCCATGTGCATATGCTTATAACACGATGATCATGGGTTATGGAATGGATGGAAAGTTTGATGAAGCATTTCGATTACTTGAGAAACAAAAACTGAAGGGTTCGATCCCAAGTGTGGTTGCATACAACTGCATTCTCACTTGTCTTGGAAAGAAGGGGAGAGTAGATGAGGCTTTGAAGTTATTTGAGGAGATGAAGAAAGATGCAGCGCCTAATCTCTCGACATATAATATACTCATAGATAATCTTTGCAAGTCTCACAAGCTTGACATTGCTGTAAAGATTCAAGACTCCATGAAAGAAGCTGGTTTGTATCCTAATATTTTAACTGTGAACATAATGATTGATCGACTGTGTAAGTCTCAACAACTTGATGAAGCCCATGCGATATTTGAAAATATAGATCACAAAGTTTGCCCCCCAACCAGTTATACATATTGCTCTCTTATAGAGGGGCTGGGTAGGCACAACAGAGTTGATGATGCTTACAGGCTATATGAAAGAATGGTGGACTCTGGTGTGATTCCAGATGCTGTTGTCTATACGTCTCTTATCAGAAGCTTTTTTAAGTTAGGAAGAAAGGAAGATGGCCATAAGATCTACAAAGAAATGGTTCGTGGGGGAATCAGTCCAGATCTAACCCTTTTAAACGCTTATATGGACTGTGTTTTTAAAGCTGGCGAAACGGACAAAGGCAGAGCTTTATTTGAAGAAATTAAGGCTAGGGGTTTTATACCAGATACTCGGAGCTACTCTATACTAATACATGGATTAATAAAAGCAGGGTTTGCACGAGAAACCCATGCTTTATTCCATGCGATGAAGGAACAGGGGTGTCTCTTGGATACCCTTGCCTATAACACTGTTATTGATGGATTTTGCAAATCAGGTCAGGTAAATAGAGCTTATCAGCTTTTTGAAGAAATGAAGGTGAAGGGACATCCACCCACTGTCGTTACCTATGGATCTGTGATTGATGGGCTTGCAAAGATTGACCGGCTTGATGAAGCTTACATGCTTTTTGAAGAAGCTAAATCAAAAGGTGTCGAGTTAAATGTAGTTGTGTACAGCAGTCTTGTTGACGGGTTTGGAAAGGTTGGTAGAATTGACGAAGCATATCTAATTATGGAAGAATTAATGCAGAAAGGTTTGACACCTAACATATACACATGGAATTGCTTGCTTGATGCACTGGTGAAAGCTGAAGAAATTAACGAAGCCCTCGTATGCTTTAATTCGATGAAGGATTTAAAGTGCATTCCAAATGCTATTACTTACAGCATTATCATAAATGGTTTATGTAGAGTTAGAAAGTTCAACAAGGCATTTGTGTTTTGGCAGGAGATGCAGAAGCAAGGGCTACAACCAAACGTGATCACATATACTACAATGATTTGTGGGCTTGCAAGGGCTGGAAATGTATTAGAGGCCCATCGTCTCTTTGAAAGGTTTAAGAAAACTGGAGCTACCCCGGATTCGGCTTGTTATAATACTATGATAGAAGGCTTAAGCATATCAAATAGGGCGATGGAAGCATACTCGTTATTTGAGGACACTAGATTAAAAGGCTGTAACATATATCCAAATACTTGTATTGTACTTATGGATTCATTACATAAGGCTGAATGTCTTGAGCAGGCAGCAATTGTGGGTGCTGTGTTGAAGGAAACAGCAAAGGCTCAGCATGCTTCAAGGTCCATGTAGAAACATAATTTTGTTGATGTTATACAATCGAATCACACCCATATGAGGTTCATTTTCTCCCACCATTCAAATTCCATAGTACATTTGACATGCTTTTATAAGGTAGAGTTGACCAATCAGTTTCTCTTTCGACACGTGAATGCAGAAAGAAGGAAAAATGATCGAGTTCAACACTGAAGCTAGAGAATTGGCTTATAGAGTGATCGATGGATACTAGCTGAAGGTGGGTTTCTTCGGCTGCTGAATCAGGTGCGCACATGCTACATAACTGCAAATTGTGTGTATGGGTGTAATGGTCACCATGGTTTGCCTGATTTCTTGGAGAATTTTTTCTGATGACATAAAGGTCGTTTTTTATTGTCCAAGCGAATTACCAATGGCGGGATGGTAAAAGTTGTCTTCTTTTGAATGTGATTTCCGGTCTCTTTCTAAATGGGTGTTTTTCTTAGCGTTTATCTTGTAATTTTAATTCAAATGCTTTAAGTTTGTTGTCCAAAATGCCCGTTCTTGCAAGGCATAGTAATTTTATACGTTTTTTTCTTCATGAAGGATTGGTTTATATGCAACGATAGCTATATATAATAGTTTGAAATTTTCAACCACTCAGATGGCTCATCCCATTTCTTGTATGGTAACTTTCATTTCATGTGTGGTTGATCCCTAAATGCTTACTCGGTAAGTGGTTAGCGGCAAGAGGCGTCACCCTCACATATTTTATCGGACAACATTCTTGGTCATCAAAATGAATAACTGAGAAGTGTCTTTTACCCTGTAAGTGCTTAGAAGTTACAAGTCTTTTCCTACACTTACCGGGTAAGATTCTCGTTAGTTGCCATTTTTTTTATCGGGTAAGATTCTTGCTTGTCCTTGCCATGCTAACCATGTGAGCGGCAGCTAGAAGGAAAATGGAAAACCATCTTTATAAAAATGGTTTATAGAAATGATTGATCTCTTCGATTACTTGTTCGATTTATATTTCTCAAGTATTAGGATATTCTTGATGATCTCAACAAACGCTCGATATGGAAAACCATATGTATAATTTTATTCCTCAAAATCTTGATGTCATGGATTGTATAATAACCAACCTATATATATATATATATATATATATATAGTTTGATTTCAAGTCTTGGGAGTTTGATTTTTCTTTTTAACATACCCACCTCATGTTTTTATAAGTTCCTCAAATTTGAATCAGAAACTTCTGTTTAGCAGAAACTTGTTTCCATATCAAGTTTCTTAAGATGTCAAAGTTCAAACACAATTTCCAAACCAACATCACATATTTGGATGCAATTAAGCTACAAGATCAAGAAACTCACCTACTAAACATAACTATTATAAATCTCCTCCTGCTGTTGTTGATCAGCACCTTCTGCTATTCGCCACCCTTTGTTCTTCATTGCCAATCCAACACAAACATTTTAGGTTATTGATGTAGTGACGAATCGTAAGGAATCAAATACACATACACAATATGAAGTCGCTATCTATCTTTGCAATGGCACTTTTCCCATTAATGAAAACCTTTCCTTTGAAGAACATCCGTTTCTGAATCCAAACTCATGCCCATTTGTAGAACTAAAGAACCAGGGACAAAATCAATCCATTTGTTGACAATTTTTGGAAAAAAAAAAAAAACAAAAAGTCAGAATCATAAAATATCTGACCGAATAAGAGATAAGTGGTCATGATTAAGACGTAAAATGGAAAAAACAAACAAGGCCTTTGTCTCTATAGACTCGTTGGCATTCTCGATATTTTAAATATTTTACATGCTCGCTCCAAGTTTGAAGTATCCGTTGTACAAATAATAATCTACCCCGTTACATGATTTTTTAAATTTGTGAAAATTTTGCAAGTTGAATTGGGTATCCAAATGTAGAAGAAAAATAATAGCATCACCAAATGAGATTATGACAAGACAAAGAAACATAAAAGAATATTTGGTTTTTGTATGTTGCCAAAAATAAAAAGTAAAAATGTGTGCATTATAATAATCATACTTTAAAAAAGGAAAAATCCATACAAGTTTAGGCTCTCATATTATATATTCATCCACTTCTTTATCCACAAACTACAAGGGACTTGTTCATCTTTTCTTTAGATTTTGTGAGATTTACCAAATATCTACTTCCATTTTCTTTTTTAAATTTAATTGCTTTGGTTCCCCCTTTTTAAGCATCCACACAACCACCTTTCATTAATATATATATATATATATATATATATATATATATTTTACCATATTAACGACATCTCAACAAAATAGAAACTTCAGTAAAACTAAAAAAAGTAGCAAATCTTGTCATCTTCTCACATTTTTTTTGAGTAGTTATATAATTTTTTTTGTTTATTTAGTTATTAGAGTAAACTACAAATTTCACCTATGTGGTTTGTTGGTTATTACACTTATTCGTCTTTGTAATTACAAAAAAAATACAAGATGGTTATTGTGGTTTATAAAAATGTTCGTATTTAATGTCTTCTTTTAATGGCCGTGAAAACCGTCAGGTGAGGGGTACTTTAGTCTTTTTCTCATTTCACTCTTACTTTTTATTAAACATAAAAATTATATACTATGATATCAGATCTGGTTGATGAATACAACTGTGATATCATTATGACACCACTGTGTTACCACTGTATCACACCCGACGTTACATCTTCAAAGAGATCTAGGTTACATCCAAAAACCTTACATCTTCTGCTTTACATCTCCGACGATATTTAGGTTATATCTCCGACAAGATGTGGGTTACGTACCCGATCTGAATGAGATTTGAACAAAAACCAGAAACCGAAACCGATCTGGGTATGCAGAAACCAAATTTTTTGGGATATGAAAAACCGAAACTGATCTGGGTTGTTCAACAAGAGGGAGTTGAACCGGTGAAGGTGAGAGTTGAAGAGATGATGGGAAGTGGTTGGAGATGGGAAAAGAATAAGAAGCAGCGGTGGCCGATGGCCAGAGATGGGCGAAGAAGGAGGTGTGAGACGGTGTTGGGCAAAGGGGTCGGTGTCAAGTGGTGCACCAGAGAGGAAGCACGTTTTGGCCGTCGATAGGGAAAGAGGGTCACACGTGGTGATCTCGTGTATATATATATATATATATATATATATATATATATATATATATATAATGGTGAAGATCTATATTTATGATTCTCATCTTAACT